TTGAAGATAAGATGTTTGTATGCCATTTGGTTCAGAAGGTCTTTTTGTTCATCATACTAATCATACTATTGTATTTCGAGCGTTGAGCTCAGCACAGAAAGACTCACTTCTTGGCCCAATGACATAAATAACTATGATGTCGCTCTAAGAGGCCCATTCAATTTAAAAGTGGCTCATTCACTGGTGTTCTTTGAATTATTCATTACCACCACAGGCAAAGGAACATCAGAAACCATATACCTACCAATTATTGATTATAATAGGTTGTAATACTCAAGATAATATAACACTCGTTATTTACGTTTTTTTAACTCAATGAATTTGTTTTTTATCTTAAATCGTGACGCTTTTCGTGAAGTGATTAGTTCAAATTTGAAAGATAAAATCATTGAAATAGTATAATGATATCTTATTGTAGTATCAAAAATATCATACAATGGCGACAATTATTAGTATTTAATTTGAAAAAAACACACTTTTCAACCTTAATACATACCTATTAATTAACCAAAAAATTTTAGTCGCTTGATAATAATTATTGGACCTAAGTAAAACGACCAACTATAAAAAAAATCCACTAATAAAATGTCACTGGCGGATCCACAGGGGGGGGTAAAGGGGGTAATTACCCCCCCCCCCCAGAGAAGCGTAAAAAAAAATTATTTATTAAAAAAACACACAAATTATTTTTTGGAGGCTTAAAATGCGTTTTGGGCGTGGCACCCGAAAAAAATTTCTGCCTCCGGCGGCACCTGTAGGGTTTCACCTACTTGGTCCTACTTTGGGTGTGAACCCCTTCAAGTATAGACCACGAGCCGTTACTGGTTAAGAAGCACTACCCAGGGCCGTAGCCAGGGGGGGGGGGCATTGGAGGGCAATGCCCTATCTTTCAAATGATCATGCGCATGCCCTATTGTTCGTCGATTTTCAACTGACACTTTCCGTATGAGGAGCGAGGAGTGTTTCATATGACAAAAACAGGTGTGACGTCAGGTAACCATTGGCGCTCAAATGTAGGGAGCCACCAGCTTCCGTCCGATTATCAGATTAAAATCGAGGGACAATACCTTCAAAACACAACATGCGTTAAGGTTTCTCTAGGAAATTTAACAGTAGATAATAGGTCTGTTTCTGCAGAAATAACAAACCAGTCAGAGTGAATTTCATCGGTTGAAACTAGTTTTCTGACTTTTTCTGACTGTTTTCAGCCAATGAAATTCACTCTGACTGGTTTGTGATTTCTGCAGAAACAGACCTATTGAATAGGGCTGAAAGTTGAGTAACTGCGAGAATAAGTGTTTTCGAAAACGCCTAAATGTATGCAACAATCAATAAACTAAACAAACACACTGGAACGGTGGCTACATAATTGTTTCTACGTATGGGCTTGTGCCAGGAAGGACAACAAACAAGAGGGATTTGCATCTCTCTTTGCACTATGGCGGCTATTGAGAACAGCTGTTTGAAGTGTTTGGTTCATTGAGGTAAGGAAGATGAAGAATGTCTTCTTTCTCTTACATTAATCGCAATGAGTGCGAGTGAGACAATAATCCCACCGTATTTTTGGGTTGCATACATTAAATTTTGGCACACTAGCATAAAGCAGTGCGCCCCTTCCAGAGTGTTTGTTTAGTTCATTGGCAACAATAGCCGCTTTCCAGCTGTGTGCTTCAAGCACAATGCAGCACACTGTTCTGTGTTTCAAACGCAAAAGTTAGCAGTTCTCGAAACGCAGTACGGCTAGAACACAGACACGCGCTTGAAGCATTTGCGCGCGCAAAAGCTTGATTGCGTGCTCAAAAGCGTCAGCTGGAAAGCGGCTAATGTTTGACGTTAACACAGCGGAACTTTTTCGTTTCGAAAGAGTGCGAATGCAAGGATAATATACACTACTACACAGGATTGCTTATCGGCCTCGTTTATGAAAATCGCGGCTCTATGGTCTAGCACCATTGACAACATCATCAACTACCTACATCGTCAGCTGTTTGCGCCAGCGGTCGTAGTTTAGAATATATAATTATGATAAAAAGTGTTATTTAATTTTGATTCACATAATAGGCAAAGAGGAAGATGCAAACGAGATCTAGAAAAGCGTTGCTTTAGAATGTTAATTAATGTCCTAAAACCAAAGTATGCATAAAGCGAAAGCCCGCGTGTGCTGTGCTAGGTAGCCTACGTCAAGGCGAGAAACGCCTAGCTGCCTACGTCATCACATATCCTTGATGCGAATGGTTCAAAGCGGCTTGAGCGGGGGGGAGGGGGGGGGGGCAAGTAGTGTATACCCTATGTCAAATCAAATTTTTCACGCCCTATCACAAATTTAACTCTAGCTACGGCCTTGGCACTACCCCCCCCCCCCCCCCCCCAGGATGGTGCTCTAGATCCGCCACTGTAAAATGTAGGTAGGTTATTGTTGAAAAGGGTGAAATAAAACCCATAAATCTCTTTGTGCTACTGCCACTATTCACTTACAGTCATCATCAAGAGACTAAAAATGTAAATACTATTTGACAGAAAAGGACAAAATAAATTTTATTCTTCGTGTTCTCTCAATCATAATACTCGCGGTATTGCGTGTTTTTCCAAATCAAACAATGGAATTCCAGAATATTCGCGCTTCGTCGTAAATAGTGGTTCCGTCGCCGTCACCAATGTGTTGTCAAATACCACCTTTCTCTCAAATCAGATCGTCGATAAGGTCGATATACATCCTTCTCTTCTACGACTATACCTCAACTCAGATCTACAATAATTCCCTACTATCAGAAGTAATATGCCTTTCATGATCCTTAGAACCATGTCGGTGCCCTAGATCTATGTTCATCACTTCATACCCGTAAGCCCCTGAACTATCCACATTCTTCACATCTTTATGATCGTCAAATGAATCTTCCCTAGAACTCCTACCAGAACCATATTTGATTTGGAAATCGCACTCGGCAACTTTCGTATTTTTTTCAGAAGCTTCCTCATTATTTTTCAAATGTTTTCCTCTTAGTTTTTTTTTTCTTCTTGTATTGACACCTCCGTTCTTTGGCTTGGATTTATCATAGGCCGCTTGGATTTCTGGTTGTTGGTTTGTTCTTGAGCAGCATTCTCTTAAAATCCATATCACTAATTCCACTGATGAAGTTTTCGGCCGCTAGTTGTTCTCGCATTTCTGCGCTGTTGCTTCCGCGTAGGCCAAATCAACTAGTCGGTGGATATCGGCTTCAAATTCTTGAAAACTTTCCAAAGGTTTCTGTTGTCTTGTCCTTAGCTGGACCTGGTGTTGATTTCCATAAAGACTCTCTAACGCATGAACAAGCGTACCATAGTTTTGTTGGACACCTGGCGGAGAAAAGTCTCTAACAAGAAGCCCATTATGTCCGAACGCCGTGGCTGAGACATTTCCTGATCTAAAGCTCCAGTATTTTCTCGAGTCTGGTTCGTTTCTTAGAGATTACGGTTTGAATCCATTGTCGCTGAAATTCAAAATTTTCCTGGATCAGGTCCTGTTCTTCTTGTTATTATTTTGATCTCCGATCTCCTTAGTCTCCTTGTAGTGGAAGAGCTCAAAAAAAGTATAAGTACCCATATGCATACTCACAGACTAGGTTCATAAATTCCCATATTAAAAAAAAAATGTGAACTCACTCCAGCACTTGAACCGGAAACGAAATGTGTAGCTAGCGAAATTGATTTGAATTTCATAAATAGTTCGATTGGAGAATCTTGACGGAAAAAATGCTATACAACTCAGCCCTCTCCAGGGGTGGATGAACTCAGGTGGAAAAAGAGAATTTTCCTCCTGGACAAGTGACATTTATAAAATTTGGGCCAATAAAATAAAACCGACACTTTTATTTTTTGGGAAATTAGCTCTAATTTTCCAGGCCGGTTTCATGGGGCGGATTACGAACTCTCGATTCGAACCGAAACCGCCATGGATTTCGAACGCACTCCATGCAAATGCATCAGAATGCGTTCGAAATCCATGGCGAGAGTTCGTAATCCGCCCCCAGGTCTCTCCATCCACCTCTGTCCCTCTCTATAGCGCGTATGCCAATTTATCTTTCTTGAAGTTTTCTGGTTCTGGATGACAGCGGGTTGTCAGCAAAAGTCATTGACGATAGAAGCTGAATTCTGTCTTCATGTGGTCCATGTAGATCACGGCGCATGTGCAGCGGCAGCTACGATTTTATTGTATCAATAAGTCTCTAATTGCAACTGCAACCTGTTCCAGCAATTTTCCCAAATGTTTCATTCCAATACAATGCGGCAACTTGTGAATGATCTCTTTCTATAACAAAACAGGGTTTAAAAAAAATAGTTTACCGGACTTCGGCGGGTGATACTACATATGAAAGTAAGAAAAAAAGTTCCTATGAACATAATGCCCTAAGATGCTTTTTTGTTTTGTGAGTAACTACCCTTACTACCCTTTACTCTTGTGGAAACTACCCTTTCAGAACTGTTACGACTTTTTTCACTATCGCCATTCGCTTTGGCATCGAAATGTATACGAGAATACCAAATTTCAAGGAAAATAGTTTGCCACTGTTCTTGAAAATAAAGAAAATCTATTATTTTCATCTATACCGTTCGAAGGGCTGTAACTTCTTCAGGGAGCATCTAAGGGCATATGTTCATAGGAACTTTTTTCCTTATTTTCACATGTACAGTGAGAATCATTGCAATTGGCACACACTTTATAAAAATCCCCCGTAATGCGTCAAAATTTGACTTCTTTGAAACACAGGTAATGTCAAAATCATGTCAAATTGATAAATCAGTGATGAACAATGCTGTACTGTTATATTCTTGATTAAAATGATAAAAATATTACGTACACCGCTGCACTGAATAGATTTATTGGTTAGAATTTCGAATTAATACGAGGGTCATTAAAAGAGTATGTGCCAATTGCAATGATTCCCACTGTAGCTAGTTTCACCTCTCGAATTTCGGTACATTATTTTTTTTACACCCTGTATAATATGATTTGTTCTTTTTAGTTGAACGTCGACGACGGTTTAATATAAACGATCGAATCAAAGAGCTTGGGACGCTCTTGCCGAAGAACAACGACCCGTACTATGAAATTGTGAAAGACGTCCGACCCAATAAAGGCACAATTTTAAAATCATCAGTCGAATATATTAAATGTCTCAAAAATGAAGTAATTCGATTAAAACAATCGGAGGCGCGACAGAAACAAATGGAAAATATGAATAGGAGATTGCAATTACGAGTTCAGGTAAGAATTTTTCGTATGACTTATACAGTTTTGCAATCTAGTTCTATTAACAAAATAAAAATCACGTTGCATACACACCGGAGTAAAGGAGTGAACAAATATATATTTTTTATTTTGATGGTCAATAACTTACAAGCTGATTTCGTCAAGTAATTAGCACTGAATAACCTTAGCCTAGATCAGTACGGCAAAACCTAGGCAGCCACAACCTAATAACAAAACTTGTAATTGTTTAGGACCAGATTGTTTATTTTCGTTTAAACGATATATTGCAGAAATAACTTGAAGAACTTTTTCTTTAACAAAACTTGGACACACCATACATGCAATTATTGTTATACGTATACCTACAGAGAATTATTACTAAATCATAAATCATCTTTATTTAAATATCGTCTAGTGCAAACATTTTGTCAAGCAGTTATTTTTTGTTTTTCTTAGCCTTATTAGACAAATGTTTTTATCAAACATACAACGCAAATGGCTTCTATGTATTTTGCAAATAAGGCATGCGTTTATAATGAGACCAAAGAAATGATTTTTTGCATTGACATTCAAAAAAGTGACATTTGATGCACTGGAAATAAAGCATCTGTAGTATGTACTTCATTTAAAATAGCGCTAATCTTCCTAATAATTATCATTGTTATGGTGAAGGTTATTTCGAAATTACTAGTTAGCTTCTATTGCGATCTTATTAACGTGGCAAATCTATAAGATCGTTAGAGAATACTATTTATTATACGCTTGCACTCGCAACAATCGTTTTAGTTTGATGTGATAATAATTTATGATTCTTCACTTAAAATTTTTCTCATTGTTCTGTGATATCGTGTGAAACAATTTAAATGCTTTAATTGAAATTAAAAGTTACTACATCGTCACGCAAAGTAAGCCTAAATAAACAAATAAATAAATTAAATGAATTAAATAATTGATGGTCAAATTTGAATATTTTTTACTTTTTGGAAATGTACAATTTTAAATAGGACTATACTATAAACATTTTTTGATTTAAAAAAAATGTCATGCATAGTATAGGTATATTGCGTATTCTAGAGAAACAACACCTACTCATTCTCGGCTGGATAAAGGAAAAAATCACATTCCATTCATACGCATTAAAAATAAATCCTATGAATCGGCACTTTTGAGACATCTTAATAAATATTGAATACGATCCTGGGTAAAGTATATCCAACGATATAGTAAGAACTGTCGTAAAAGTCAATAAACCATCTGCCCCTTCTACTGTATTATTATTCAGCCACGTGCCCTTACCCTTTATAGTGGATCGCAAAATAATTTATGGCAGCCCTATTCAGGACCGTATTTGATTTTGTCTTCTTATTTATTTATTTAGAAAATTTTTAGATTTCTAGTGACACTAAATAACCGGCGGGCGAAATTTCGACGGGAACGTAGGTATGTACAGGGTGGCCCGTTTAAGAGGGGCCACCTTGTCTCGAAATCTAGAAGGGCTGTAAAAAAAACTTAAATACAAAAGTTGTTTCTAATCAAATTATCTACAACTTTTTTGTATTGTTTTTGTTGTCACGCTACTATATACAGGGTGGACAAATAAAATTTCCTTTTCCTTAATGAAACACCCTATATTTTATTACACTTTTACATAACCCTTTGGAAGACAAATCCAACGATATACTGGTCATGTGTCTGTGATATACCGTTTGGAACTTATTAGCGATTATCTTCAGGATTTGCGGTAATTTTCAATAGTCATTGTTACATTACTCATAAACTTTTGAAAGTTTTTTTTCGCATGATAATTTCTATAAAATAATGCTCTTCTTTAGACTATATTTAAATTTGAAATATTTGTTTTGAAAACGCGGTGTTGCCACGCTTGGCAAAATGTAACGCTTTCCAATTTTTTTTTAATGGGACTTCCTGTAAATTTTCGAGTTTTTGGATAGCCCTTTAAACGACAAATTCAACGATATACTGGAAAAAGGTCTGTCATGCACCGTTTCGGCCTGATTGGCAATTATCTTCAGTTCTAGCACAATATTTAATCTGTCCAAGTCGCCCGGTGAATAACAAACATGTCTATTTTCCGTCGACCATCTATTCATGTGCTTCATTAATGTATAAAAAATTATTCAATAATATCACCATTAATGCATAAAAAGCTCTATTTCAGCTAATCTACTACAAAATTAGAATTTTTTTTCATTCAACAGGGATGACATGAGATATTGTGCTAGAACTGAAGATAGACGCCAATTAGGCCGAAACGATGCATCACAGATCCATGTCCAGTATATCGTTAAATTTGTCTTTTGAAGGGCTATGCAATCACATGACCGGTATATCGTTGGATTTGTCTTTCAAAGGGCTATGTAAAAATCTATTAAAATATAGGTTGTCCGATTAAAAAAAATCAAATTTTATTTGTCCACCCTGGATATGGTAGAGTGACAATAAAAACAATACAAAAAAGTTGTAGATAATTTTATTAGAAACAACTTTTGTATTTGAGTTTTTTTCACAGCCCTTGTAGATTTCGAGATAAGGTATAGGCCCCTCTTAAACGGGCCACCCTGTACAGTGTACAGTTTTTGAATAATCATACAGTTTTGTTTATTTTCGTATGGTTCTCCATTCGTAGATCGATCAAGTGTACGGCACTGGTATTTTCCTGTTTCTGACTACCCCCTCAGCCTTTCCATGTTAGTATGAATTCAATCCTATGTACAATTTTTGAATAATCATACAGCTTTATATATTTTCGTTTAGTTCTCACGTATTGTACCTCAATTTATTTATATCTTCATTTATTAAGTTATTGACGGACAACAACTGTCCGTACTATGAATCCAGACATCGTACGAAATGGAATTCTAAACCTCAACCCGAATTACATCAGCTTCATCCACTATAAAAAATTGAAATTAAGATATAAGAGATATAACACAATGGATGAACAATAGGGTAGGTACCTACTTGCATGAAAAAATTAAATTGATTATTGTTTATTGCAAACTGTAGGAAATCGAAAAAAAATCGTTACTTTTTTTTTATTTCGCCCAAATATGATTATTCTGGAAGTTATACAAATATTAAGTTTTTTATATATATATATATATATATATATATATATATATATATATATATATATATATATATATATATATATATATATATATATAGGTACTGAGCATGTGCGACGTCACAACTCACAACGTATTATACCTAAGTTATGACGTCGGAAGGACATTTCAAAGCGTTGTATCTCCGTCAATTTTTGACTAACAAGAAAAAGAAAAAACACGTGTTGACTTATTTTTCATGGACTATCGAAATCAGCAATAAAAAAATTTGATGCAAGGGGCCTATTTTGGAATAATCAGTTAGAGATGGCTGCCAATAATATTCGTTTAAAGAGAGTGAAGTATTCATTAAACTAATCCAATTCAACAAATAAGTTAGCAATAGGTCAATGGCCCTGGGAATATGAGAATGACATGCCTAATTAGTTCTATGGCAGAGTTGATGGAATGTGTGGGAGGAACGAGTGATTTTGAAAGGAACACGTAGACCAACACAGCAAGTCAATGAGGAAAATCAACAACACTTTTTTATGTGAATGTGAAACAAGTACTCATCTAGCAGAAGCCATTGGTGCAACATAGAACTTCTTGTCCTTGTGCATTTATTTATCCCTTCATGAGACGGAGGCGCTGGAGGCATCATCATCAAACAAACATAGACATACCAAAAATAATTGAATAGACAAAGACAAAGAGAAACTTGTAACTCCAGGTGTCAAAATCATTTAATTTATATTTTTATAAAGGGTTTATAAGGTTTCTGGAAATATTTAAATAAATACTTCTATAAATCTTACAGTTATATTACATTACTAACACAGGTGTCGGTAACCTTTATAAACTCCGCCATTTAAGTGTTTTAAGGTTTTTATAAGGGTGATGTAAATGTTTCCCACATATTATTATTGAACTATAGGTTATTTAAAGTGAGTGTTGTAAAATATACGATTACCAATATATAACTAAAAATGTTTATTGGGATGAGTAGTATAATGAGGGATGCTCAAAGCTTATTCAAGATGGGTCTTTATCAGGGAACAGTTTCAAGAGTACTTGCTAGAAAACTTCTCAGTATGATAATTGATTGATTTACTTTAGCAAAACAAGAAATATGTTGAGCCTAGGAAAGAGGTAACACCAAGGAATTTCAACCACTAAATATTTTGAGAGGACCGCAATCCAGAAAACTTGATAAAACTATAGTTTGAAATATCCAGGGCCATCCCTGATCCTAAGCCGCTTTTGTTATCTTTTTCGACGATTTGCTCCGAAATTTTGACAGGCACGTGACTGGATCAGACAGTTGCAATTTACAAATCTCGTTCCTGTCAAAATTTCGGAGCAAATCGATGGAAAAGATGACAAAAACGAACACGGCTCTACTATACATCTTGAAGGTCCACACGTTCCCCAAAGATATGGACCACGCTGAACATCTTCATGTCGTTTTTCACTCTTGAGATGGAGCAAGACAAATCCGTATTTACACAAATTCTAATTGATATTCAAATGCGACCTGAAATTTATTAGGAAAAAAGATGTTATTATTATTTACATTTAAAGCCCTGCTTAATGTTTAACTCCCAAGGTTAATTCCATTTTTGCCCCGAAAACCTTCAGCCTTTACATGCACCATATTCGAGAGCATATAGAGATGTATTCTTCTAAAATTTTTTTTGCTCGTTGAATGATTTAAGAAAAATTTCAAACGCGACAAAAGTGTCTCTGAGAAATATAACGCATTCATCCAAAATTTTTTTGAAAATATATTTGGTAATGGAAAACTTGCGAAAATGTATTCTCCAATCCCTAAAATATATTCTATAGTTTTGGTTATTGCCCTTGAATCTATTCCCTTTTGAATGACAATGAATAAAAAAGTACTAGCGTGAGCCTATTTTCAATAGAAACAAATATTTCATTGCCACTGTAACAAGCAGATCTGCATAATGTTTAAAGTTTAAACTTAGGATTTTTCCAATTAGTACCGCTACGATAACAATCATAGACAACTAATCATTGTTTGCATTCTACTACAATTTACCGCGTATCGGATTTATTGCACAACCTGATCAGTTTGATATAAAATTATCGACTTTAAGATTTATTATATGCACTACATGTTATCGCGTCCATAATTAAGAAAAAAAGTCCTTGCTGTGGATGTCGGTAATTTTTTTTCTCATTTGTTGCCTTTATTGAAGATGAGATTTTTCTGATGTCTGATAACTACCTCACACCGCGATAATCACTCAACAGTACTTAAATGATGTAAACATTCCTGTTATGGATTGGCCAGCGTTAAGTCCAGATGCGAACCCATTTGAACATGTTTGACACATGCTTGGGCGAAGAATGCGAAGTCGTGTTTCTGCTCCTGCTGTTTCTTTGACCTTACAGTTCCACAAGCTCATCTAGAGGAATGGAAACTTATTCCTTAAAAAAGCATGCCCAGGAGAATGCATGCATGAAATCGGACACTTTGCAGCAACAGAAAATGCGGAATTCACCTCATAAAAAAAAAACAAGGCATTAGTTTGATCGAGAAAATATCTGAGAAGATTCGTGCGAGCGTTTGATGACTTACTGGAAATATCTCGGACAACATCCTCCTCTGCCGAACTCATTTTGGCGATGAATGCTATAACGACGGGCGAAAAAACTATTCGCTTTCGGTTTATATCAGTCGCTGACGCTGGTAGACAACACGACGTGCTAGACGCTCCCACCCTGAATGTTTGTATTTGGTACCAGCGTCAATTCGGCACTCGACGCAACGCTGACGCGACTCACGACGCTTCCACGCTGAAACATTGAGCACTAAATTACGTACACCTTATGAGTAGAATAAACATGTCACATAAGTTAGGCTTCAAAATTATGCATTTTAATGACTGAGCGTTATCCAATAGGCCATTATCAGCTGGTTTAATCCAGCCTAAGTCCCTTAATTCATTTATCTAAGATCTGACAGCATTAAGGCTAATGGTATTTTTGAATTTTATTTATCATTCAATTCCAGAAGTCAATTGAGCTGCCATTTATGGTTGCACAGAGATTTCAAAAAAATATATGAAACATTTTAACAAATAACCATTTTTGTACTTTTCAGGAACTAGAAAGGCAAGCGAAGTCTCATGGTCTTCCGATATCGGACTTTAACTGGCAAAGTCTCACCATGAACAACAACCCTTCACCGTACAACTCATATTCAAACAACCTCGATTTGGATCCCAGTTTAGATCATAATCTGGATCACAAAGTCGATCAAGTCCTGGATAATAACCTGGATCACCTCGATCATAACCGGCCTCCTTCGGTAACAGAAATTATGTCGCCATTGTTCTCAGATTCCAGTCGAAAAGTGAGTACCTAGATTATTCCCTTCTAAATATCACTGAGAACATCGTCAAAGCTCTTGATAAAAAGCTTGCAGCAATATTATATATATATATATATATATATATATATATATATATATATATATATATATATATATATATATATAAAAATATATAAAATATTTAACCTCAGTATTGAAAAGAACATTTTTCCAGACCGATTAAAAGAAGCCACTATAACACCAATTTTTAAGTCGGGAAATCTAAATTCTATAGAGAACTACAGACCAATAAGTGTACTTAATTCACTTGCTAAGATATTTGAGAATATACTTTATGACATTATACTAAACAGATTTCGAGATAGTTTTGTCCCTCAGCAGCATGGTTTTCTGCCTGATGTATCAACAGTCATCAATCTATGTACTTTGACAGAGGCAGCGGCTGGTGCCATAAATGGTAAGGAACAGCTGGATGTTATTGTAACAGACTTTGCAAAGGCTTTTGATAAAGTGGATCATGGGCTTCTTGTCACCAAACTGGGTAGATTTGGGTTTTCTTTGAGTGCATGTAAATTAATGGAATCTTATCTCCTCTCTAGAAACCAACAGGTTAAAGTTGGTGGGTTTTTGTCAAGAAAATATCTTTCTACATGTGGGGTACCACAAGGTAGCAATCTAGGGCCCCTCCTGCCATATTTGTAAATGACTTACCCAACTGTATTGAATTTTCAGAATGTCTCTTGTTCGCTGATGATTTTAAGGTATATAAACGTGTATCCAACCCTGTAGATTGCAACCTACTTCAAAAAGATATAAATTCTGTTGCTCAGTGGTCCACAGAGAATAAAATCCCTTTAAACACAAACAAATGTCTAACTATGTCTTTTACACGCAGGTTCAATTATCTTAGACATGATTATTCTATCAATAATCAGGTGCTGAGTAGAAAAGATGAATGTAGGGATCTCGGAGTACAATTACAGGCAAACTTAAAATATAGGGCATATAAACTGTTAGGCTTTATAATTAGGAATACCAAGTACTTTAAAAACATTAAATCAATTATTTATCTGTATAATGCTCTGGTTCGGCCACACTTGGAATATGCATCCGTCATTTGGTCGCCTCAAACAGAAACTCACAATATGATTGAAAAAGTGCAAAAAAGATTTCTGAGATATTTGTATGTTAGGAAACACAATATATAGCCCTTTAGAATCTCATATAACAGCATGTTAGAGGAGTTTGGCTTGGTTAAGTTAAGTAAAAGACGTATGATTAATGATATAATGTTTATTTATTGTATAGTTAACAATACCAAATATAAAAATGCTTCCTTTATTAATAAGGTAGGGTTTTTGGTTCCTAAGATCAATTTAAGAATAAGAAATACACAACTGTTCCTTCATGCACCATTAAGCTGTTCGCCTGTAAACAAAATGCTACATGAATGTAATGTCTTGATACAGGAAAGTAATATAGATTTTTTTAATGATAATCTAATCTTAGAAACATAAAAAATACAATTCTCACCGTAGAAAACAATATTCAGGCGTAACCCAAATATCTATAACTTAAGGTGGATAGTTCGTACCTATATATATGTTCTAATTATGTCTGTGATTATGTCATTCTGTGTTTAGTATTATTATGTTATTTTTAGTGTGTAAGTTGTTAGTATTTTTAATTTTGTTGTTTTTTCTCTCTCATACCCAGTAAGCAAATTATATTTTCGATTCAGAAACTTGTATTTTAAAAAACATTTATTTTATTGATTAAAATACAGAGGTGACAAAAGAAAATATTCGGATCAAATTGCTACAGGCTAAAGCCAGAAAACAAATGAACGTTCCTTATGGGACGGCATCGGCTTAAATTAGGGCTCGGAATTGTATTCGAATAATTCGAATATTCGACTATTCGACTATTCGACTATTCTAAATTCGACTTTTTTGTTCGTTAGCAAATTCGACTATTCGACTATTCGAATATTCGACTATTCGAATATTCGACTATTCGACTATTCGACTATTCGAATAGTCGAATATTCGAATATTCGAATATTCGAATATTGGAATATTCGAATATTCGACTATTCGAATATTCGAATATTCGAATATTCGACTATTCGAATATTCGATTATTCGAATATACGACTATTCGAATATTGGACTATTTAACAATGCAATTACTCACTTTTTGATTTGAACAATTTAAAATTTCAATTGTTTCAATATTTGAATTGAATGATACAATATACGACGTGTTTTCGGTGAAATTCAGCTTTCAATTAATACAATGCATTTTTGTTCGTATTGTTAATTTAACCCTCTGTAAATTTGCCATTTAGAAAACATCTAAATTATTTTAGTTTTTCTGACTAATACTCTGCATAAAAAATCAAAAATTCGCTTCGTCGTAGAACGTTCTTTTGCGGGAAGTAGAAACTTTTATCAAGAATGATTGTTAGTCGAAAAACGTCATTTTTAAAGTCCCATTTTGTTCTCTTAATTAGGTCCTCTATCAATATTTGACTATTGGAATATTAGACTATTCGAATATTCGACTTTTTGACTACATATTCAAATATTCGACTATTCGACTATTCGAATATTCGACTATTTAAATATTCGACTATTCGAATATTCGACTATTCGACTATTCGACTATTCGACTATTCGACTATTCGAATATTCGACTATTCGAATATTCGAATATTCGACTATTCGACTATTCGACTATTCGAATATTCGACTATTCGACTATTCGATTATTCGACTATTCGAATATTCGACTATTCGAATATTCGACTATCCGACTATTCGAATATTCAACTATTCGACTATTCGAATATTCGACTATTCGAATTATTCAACTATTCGAATAAAATACCAAACGACTATTCGAATACTTGAATTTCAAAAATTCCGAGCCATAGCTTAAATAAACATTTAATGCCGACATAGCAATTTGATGTTTACTTTACAACAATGTATTTAAAAAGTCCTAGAGGAAAGGGGTAAGCACATTAAAGCATATAAAAAATAGATAATTGATTATAAATCAGCATGGCAATTGGTTAATATAACTAGCACTCCTACATGTAATTACTATTTATAGTGTTTGTACGAGTTTTAAATAAATAAATAAATAAAATAAATAAATAAATTATTAGCTTTAGATTATTCTAGGACATTCGTCATTGATCTTGATTTATTGGTGGCAAAGTTAAAACTTTATGGTTGTGATAGGATAGCTCTTTCATTTTTTGAATCATACCTTTGGAAACGTACTCAACGAGTGCGTATAAAATGTAGGTACCTATTCTGAACCAAAGAATATAATGTCTGGGGATCGATTTTAGGGCCACTTTTCCTTTGCTTTGTTTTATTGTATACATGTGACCTTTCTTCTAATGTAAAAGAATCAAAAGTCTATCAGTTCGCTGATGCTGATGACACCCAAATTATTTACTATTTTGATCCTGATAATGTTGAAGCGGCTTCCGAGTGTATTAATGGAGATTTGGTTTTAATTATGAGGTATTCCACTAAACATAATCTCGATCATTATTAACTCTAACAAAACTGAAGCATTACTGTTTAGTTCTATAAACGATCGACTCAATATTGAGAATCATATTAATATTATGATAAATGGGGACCATCTGTCTTTTTTTGATGATATTGAAATACTGGGCTTAAATCTCGGTTCATCTTTGAGATTTCGGAGACACGTAGGGGTGATTTTGAAAAAATGTTATCTTCGCTTGCGCCTTCTTTATGCTAACAAACATATCGACGGTGATCTGACAATACCTGCTATGTGCATAAACGTTAATTTTACAGGGGGAATAAAAAAGCGTTCTTATTTAAATAAATTTACAACTGAATATCTAAATTTTAAACAGACGTATTAAATATTAATTGAAAGCAGATAGCAGATAGCAGGCTCTATCGTATTGTGCCTAACAAAAATACAAGGCTAACTGTAGAAAAATCTAATTTTTGAATAAAATGTCAGTTAGCAGGTATTGTCAGATCACCGTCGATATATTAAATTTTAAAACAAGAAAAAAACTGGCAGATTCTCTGGTATTGTCGATAATTAATTATTACCTTATAGTTTATTACCCTTATCTACATAAGGGCAATAAAGTATAAGGCAATAATTGGTCTAGACCAAAGGTCTCAACAGAGATTGCAAATGTATTCAGAATACATGTTGTCGATTTGTTTGTGGGTTAAGAAAATTTGATCACGTGTCTATACATATGTGAGTTAAAATGTATGAAAGTTTCGTTTTTGTTTAAGTTTCTCCTGCTGTTTTTTATGTATCGTCTGTTCAAAAATCAAGTGCCAAAATATTTACTAGAAAAAATCATACCTACACAGATAAAAAGGATTACTTGGTCCAAAAGAAATTGGAATTATCTCAAGGGCGCCATGCATTTGAAATTGGCGAAATGCATGGATATTTTGTCTCAAAATTTTGGACAACCTCGAGGCAAACGCTTACTTTCTTTTAGTACAAAGTTATAGATATTGGAGTCAAGAAACCATGATTTTATCGTTAAATACATTTATTTTGTCTCAAAACCATTCTTTTTTCAATTTTTGAAAAACCTTGAGGAAAAGGCCGCATGGTTTTTTAGGCCAAAGCCATATTATTTTTGTTCAAATTCATCAAAAGATTGTTTCAGAATAATTTGATTTTAAATAAAAGACATGATATTTTTGAAGTAAAATATTACGATTTTGTTATAAAACCAGCAAATTTTTATTCCAAAATATTACGATTATGCGTGAATACTTGTTTCCAAAACCCTGTGTTCTAAAGTGAAACTAGCGAAAGAATTATTCGTTCCTCAAAAGAACCAAAATAAATAAATTTTCTATAAATATCATACTTACTAACAGAAAATCTATATACTCAAATCATAAAACTTTTTTATTCTCTACTTTTTTTAAACCCATTTCTTCGATCCGAAACTGTGCATTTCAAAATTCTTACATCAAATTTGTTATCACCAAACAACAAAAACATCTACTATATTGTTATTTACCCATAGTTAATTTTTCTATTTGAACAAGAGCATTTCTACATAATCGAGTTGACTGATTTTCTATCAGCGTTTTTATGAATTTGCACTGATATTAGATAGTGACGGGTTTTCCAGGTTACTATTTTCTCAAATTATTAATTTTTTTATTACAATTTTTTCTCTGTAAGCTACCTATGTCTGGAACTTTTTGCAAAACTAAGGAGTTATGGCGTATGTCTAGTTGATACCACTTCTACGTATTTGGGGGCTAGTTATTTGCTCAAGTTGTATCAATATTTATTCAGGTTCTAATTATATTGTCACGGATTCAATGACAATGGAGAAACCCGAATTCTCAATCATTAGGTACTGGCGCTAATTGCATGCCGGTTTCGAGCTTGTTAGCTCTCGTGAGTGTAACAGAGAAACAGATTTAAAGGAGAATCACAGAAAGATATAAACCTTTAATAGCGTGTGGCTCCCTCTCTCTTATTTAGACTGACTCTCAAACTGATTAATTACTAGGCGCTATCTACAGTCGACATCGTCTCTCCGATCTATCTAGAAAAATGAGTTTATCGAACATAATAGAATACCCAGAAAAGACTCATTCCAGTCATAAACAGCTAAATTCGTAAAATCAGGCCGGGTTTTCGACGCAACACTGCCTCCCTCTCAAATAAGATCGTTCCGATCTGACCATTTATCAAAATGCAGCACCTCCTCTTCTATGTCCATTCCGCCACTGAGATCCATTTCACCCATTCATTTGCTTAACATACGTCTCTATGCCCGTGACAGCTCGGCCTTGTTGACTTCCCAGATCTACCCTCATGTCTGCGTAACTCTCCTGTCCTTGGACTGACCTTACGGGAACTAGAAAAAATGGCTACTTGTTCTCTGTTGATTGCCATGCTGCCAGCCGCCTTGCTTTCGCCTCCGCGGATGGTCATAGCTCTAGTATTCGTCTTCGTGTGAATCTGTAGAGCGGCTTTTTGAAGGATAATTTTGACCTTCTGAATCAGCAGTAGTCGTAAACCACCAATCTTCCTGTTCCTGGTCTTTCTCTCCCCGCTTGCCGGATTTTCCTTTTTTTCCATTATTTCGTTGGTGAACCATTGCGGGTTTTTCTAATGTTAAAAAATAATTCGATATCACTCTCTCCCAGTTGATCACTTCTCAGATGTCCGTAACTCCGTTTTTTTCCTGGTGATCAATTCTGAGACAGTTCTTGTCTAGATGAGGCATCTACGTTGTTATTCAGTTCACCAGAGCGACGTTTGTCCAGAACATCATATCGCTGCTACTTCTCAATCAGCGGCTGACAGTCACGTTTGAAATGTTTCTTTCTTCCGCAGCAAGTTACCTGCACTCTCAACTCCTTCCCGTACTTTTTTACGTACTTCTTCCATTGCATTAGTTAATATATTTTCTTGCCCTCAGAGATTCATCTGCATCCATTCTCGCAGAAATTAAAAATTTTCCTGAAGCCGGTCCTATTTTTCTTGTCTCCGATCTTCTGGTTGCTGTAAAACTGCTGCAAGCCGTTCATGTTCTCGTTTTTCCCTCAATCATCGATCTTCTTCTTGTTGAAAAAGTGCCGGTCCAGTTCTTCTTGTTTTTCTTTCTGTCTCCGGTCCTCTTCTTCTTGTTTTTCTTTCTGACTTCCGTCTGCCTCTTCTCGACTTTCTTTCTGTCTTCAGTCATCGTGTTCTTGTTTCTCTTTCTGTCTTCGGTCTTTGTAGTTGTAGAGGTGCTGCACGCCGCCTATTCTTCATGATTCTCTGTCTGTCTTCGATTTTCCTCTTCTTTGTATCTCTTTTTGTCTCCGGGCTTCTTCTTCTTGTTTTAATTTTTGTCTACTCTTCTTGCCTCTTCTTGTCCATGCATCCACCGACATTTGATTAACTTGATCCATTTTGGCGGTTTGCTGTCATTACACGAATACTCTGTATTTTTCTTGAAAAATCGGCTCTTGACGCAATTCTGTATAAATAGGTATGTATTTCGAAATGCATGTTTTGGATCTAAATTTATTAGTGGCCTTATAAATTCTAAAAAATATGATTTACTTGGCTTCGAAACGGTTATTATATTTTTTAGACGATGCGCTATAAATAAGATATTAGCGGGAAGCGGTTTGATAATATGACAAAAAGTTTTTTCACCTTAACATCCCTAAGATATGAATTAAACACTTGATCAAATCTGAAGTATCACCCATACCTATGTATGTACAGGGTGATTCATTAAGAATGGCACTCGGCCATATCTCAAAAACTATTCATCGTAGTCTTGTCGGAAAAAAATTATCCCATAAATATGGCCAAGAGAAAATGCTGGAAATATATTTCAGCTTTCTAAAATGACCGTAAGGGGGCGTAACCCAACTGTCAAAGTACAAAAATGGTTTTATTTTTTAAATTTCAAATGGAAACGTATCTCAAAAATGCTAGCAATAGATTTTTCATGAAATTTCACACAATTTTGATTCATAACTTTTTACCATAACTTATCGGATAAGATAGTTATGAGCTGTCAAATATTGCAACACAAGAAAGCGGATAACTTCAAAACGACTCAACAAATCTGGTCGATCTTAGGTTCGTTGGAAAGACCAGAGTCTGTTCTTTAACTTTGTTGTGAAAAATTCAAATTCTGGTTGGTAGGACTGACGCTATGTGTCAATATTTGGAAACAATTGAAGGTTTCCAATTTTTCTCAAAATTTTCAAATGGAACGGTATATTTAAGATATGTTAAATCGATTTTTGAGGATATTTTACATAGTGTTTCTTTATTATACCTTCCTACAAACGAATTCCAGAGAGTGTTAAAATTAATTTTATTAAAAATAATCAGTATTTATGAAAAAGCCCCCGTTAATTGAGCAGATACCAGTTAAGTATGTCAGGCTGACACATTTTTGAAACTTCAAACGCTATTTTCTAAAGTCAAAATGCATTTCCCAAATGGATAAGCACAGGAAATCCTTGAGGTTCTGCATGAATGTAATGGAAATGCAGCAACTGGAATCTAATTATTTTGAAAATGGACAATGCTTATAAAAAAAATAATAGACTGGTTTTGGATTATCTCTGTTAGTATTTACAGAAAGAGCAGAATGAAAAATGAATAAATCCACAGTACGCGGGTGCCGAATTTATGCGGAAATGACGTCTAGATTTTAATTTCCAAAATTATTAATAGATGTCACCACCACTTGAGTAGTTCACTATTCTCAAAATAAATATGTATTTCTTCTTCAAGTTTCGTATCCTACAACATGCTCGTCTGCTCGTGTATTAATGGCTATCATTACATGATCATTGCATAATATAGTTACTATTATAATTTCCTAACGCACTTTTTCCATTATTTGACATTCATCAATGATGACAAACAACTGTCAGAAATGCGAAGTCATTATTTACGAGGGCTTTTTCATAAATATTGATTATTTTTGATAAAATTAAATTTAACACTCTCTGGAATTCGTTTGTAGAAAGGTATAATAAACAAAAACTGTGTAAAACATCCTCAAAAATCGATTGAACCTATGTTAAATATACCGTTCCATTTGAAAATTTCGAGAAAAATTAGAAAAAATCAATTGTTCTCAAATATCCACCCATACAGTCAGTCCAACTAACTGAAGTTGGAACTTTTTACAATAAAATTAAAAAACAGACTCTTGTCTTTCCAACGAACCTAAGATCGACCCAATTCGTTGAGTCGTTTTGAAGTTATTCGTGTTCTTAAGTTGCAATATTTGACAGCTCATAACTGTCTTATCCGATAAGTTATGGTAAAAAGTCATTGATCAAAATTATGTGAAATTTCATCAATAATCTATTGCTAGCATTTTTGAGATACGTTTCCATTTGAAATTTAAAAAATAAAACCATTTTTGTACTTTGACAGTTGGGTTACGCCCCCTTACGGTCATTTTAGCAAGCTGAAATATATTTCCAGCATTTTCTCTTGGCCATATTTATGGGATAATCTTTTTCCGACATGACTACGATGAATAGTTTTTGAGATATGGCCGAGCGCCATTCTTAATGAATCACCCTGTACATACCTACTTATAAAATTAAAAATATTATTTTTTTCTTTTCCAGATGCCAGACGTAATATCTGATGCAACCCTAAGCCTTTCGGCTGCAATGGAAGAGGGAATGGATGATGACGATCTCGTCTACAACGTTAACGGTGATCCCATGCTGTCTTCCCCCAACGCCCTTACAGCGGATGCCTTTTTAATAAGAAACGTATCTCCAGTACATTCAGGGCCCACTGATTCTTTATTTTCGGAAGATCGTATACCAACACCAACACCAACCAGCCATATCGACGATGGGGGAGATACCCTAGACATAGACATGATAGCATGATCTTAGTCTCACCTTTCTGGTGAGATTTAGATTGTAGCTCGATATAGAAATAATTATAATAGTAATAATTCTCAAGCCGTAATCTACAATGTTCGTGCGTGATTTTCTCTTAACTTTGTGTTGTTTTGAAACTATTAACAACACGAAAAAATGTTTTGAAATCTTGGCCAGTGTTGAAAAAATAAGATTTATTTATATGAATCATTGTAGATCAACGTGTTAGAATATCGGCATAATTACGAAATGTTACCTTTAGTACCTACGGATATATTTGTAGAAAAGTCTGGTAACCTGAGTTCACTTAACGTTTTAGTTTTGTATTCAGTCTGAAATCATGTTTATGAAACTACCGATGCAATATTTTAGCGTCTTTAAGCTGGTAAAGCGTTAGGTACTTTCCAATAAGCTTTTATTGAATACATTTACGTCAAAATGAAGAAAAACTTATAGACTAGGAGCTCATAACACAAAAAAGTTAGTCATTTCATTTGTAACAGGTAACAGGTATGGCGACCCCTTAGAGGTCGAATTACTTAATGAGGAAAATGAAAAAGATGATAACTTTCTTGCCATTGGGTCCTAATGGCATGGCGACTAATCGAACTTGTCAGATAAATTGCGGGTTTGAAACGCTTTGTAACAAAAAGGTTCTTGTATTTTTCGATAGTTTATGAAAAAGGAACTAGTCGAAAGCGAAATGCCATAGTTATCCGGTGGAGCTTATAGCCCGCCATAATATTTTTTTAGATTATTTGTAACAAGCTAGTTTTTTTTAAATGATCATCTTTGAGGAGTCATTCACGAAAATCACCGTGCCATACCGTTCCGATGGTTCCAAGTAGCCGCCATACCTGTTACAAATTAGTAACTTTTTTGTGTTATGCGCTGTCGGTCTATTAGTCGGATCTCAGTAATAATTATTATTCACTCGACACTAATAGAGGTGTTTAATTTGCCATGTTTTTGTTGCAAACGCATCTTAAACACAATATTGGCCCAATAAAATTTGAATTATTGAGGAACCGCTGTCACTTATATGTATTAATACCCTATTTATTTTGCTTTTTGCACTCAAATTATAGCAGCAAGTTTTGACAGTATTTTAAATAAAGATATTATCTGCAACTACAACCATATATTTGTAGATATTTTATATGTAGTTACATTACATTTGGTACCTACACATTTGTCATAACTACAAATTGTATTTGGCCAAATTTTAGTTACCTACTCATAAATTAGGTTTATGTGTACATTAATGCTTTAGTTTACAGTTAAAATGAACCTTTACCATAAAAAATATATTTGATATACCTTTATAACTTTTATTACCAACTTTACCAATTCTTATTTTTCGTAGTATATCTTTGTGCATGGTCACACTTCGTTTTTGTTCTAGTTTAAGTTTAAGTTACATTTATTGTTCTCAGTAAGATGGCAAACAGTTGAAGACTATTTTTATTAATAGATATAACAATTTATTAGAGTTGCCCATAGGTAAATATCTCTGGAATCTACAGCTTTAGTATTCCTAGATTCAAAACTCATTCAACAAAAAAATGTGTTTTATTCTGATATTAGAAAAGGTGAAATTGTTGTTTTTGTTTATTTTTTTTTATCGCTGAAATTTTACATCATATAGGTAGGGTAATACATTTTATTATCAGTGAAACAATTCACAAACTTGCAAAAATATTGTTAAAAATAATTATGATATTCATAAGTGATATTTTTTGTTGAATAATTACGTTTAGTAGAAAGATTTTATAATAATGTTATTGGGGTCCACTTTTTGAACCTTAAATTAATTTTTTTGTGAATCATTGTATAGCCTGAGTGCGCAAACCAAATATCGTTGATCGCATATTAATCACAAATTTATCAATAACCGTTGTTACTTCGTGTTAATCGTGTTTACCAGTTTATAGTTGTTTTAATTGTTTCTGAAATTTATTAAATGTTTTGATTTTAAACATTTTCAATTTTTATTTTTTCTGTTTCATATAGGGCCTAGGGCCTTGGTCAAATCATTTTCAGATGTTGATTTCAGAGCAAACTTTACTGGAGGTACACTGTTCAAACTGACATTATATGTATAACGACGTCAATTGTACCTATACCTACCAATATTTCAAATGGAGGATGTATTTATGATGTTGATCCAACGTCATTTTTACTAATGTGAGCTACGTCTTTTCCAAGCCATAAAATGTCGTATACTTACGTCATAAAATCAAGTACCTACTTTATCGTCACAAAATGACGTATTTTATACGTTTGAAAGGTGGAAATAACGTCTAATCTCATATAAAATGACGAACAAAAGTCGTCAAATTGACGTCACCCTGCTGCCTGGGAACCTGACCCTAGAATTTGAACTGCTTTCTCACTGGGTTCGGGGCAAGTAAAGGCGGTAAGACTCTATATCGATTTTTGGGACCAAGTCCTTTTAGCTTGTGGCACGTGGTGACTAACCGGTGTAACTGGACGCGACCAAACGGTAGTATATGGTTATGCTACAAGAAACAAAAAATAAAAAATGGTTGGGCAATGTTACAGTGACTCAATAAACAATAGAGGTCCGGCCGCCATATTCTTGCAAATTTTAAATGTGAATATTGAAGTAAGCCTCGCCCTCGCAGCCATGTTCTTCCTGCAATTTGCAATCGAGTTGAGGAAAGTTTAAAAAATAAGGCAAGAAATAGACATATCATTCAAAATCTTAAATAGATGAGCTGTTGAAATAGAAAAAGGTTCCATGGTGAAAAATTGGTGGTCTATAGTAATTCAAGACACTCTGGCGGACGGCGAAAATTATTAGATTTGTTTGAGATCTTTCACACTGCTTAAAGAAATATACATATGTTGTTTTAAATTTACCAGGGATGTGCCGTAGACCATGAAATCTACTTACGCGGTTTGTCTACTCGTTATCTATCTATGTATTGTTTACATCCACTTTTTTCCATGTAGAATATGTAAACTATGTAGACAATGTAGACAATGTAGACTGTAGTGTATGTTGGAAACAATATTCCAACAGTAAATTTAAAATTCAAATTTTAATTTTCCCGGTATGCACCGGAAGTGTGCGCGTATGTGTCGAACAGTGTCAAAAATCACTTGTCAAAGTTTTTGGTAAAGTGGCTTCCGGCATCTACGCGAGTGAACCAACGGGAACAGTCAGTGTCGAATCGAACCTCACCGAGCGCACCAGATAATTCTGGCCAGGTCCTATATGACCATTTTTACAGACTCTATAAGTCTAAAAACGTAAACAAAAACGAGAAAATGCAAATTGTAAATAGTGTAAATAGTCGTGTGTGTAAATAAATGTAAATATATTAATAATACAGTCCACTCTCATTATTTTAAAGAATCCAACAGTGTAGACGACGGAAAATTTGAAATCTGAGTTTTTTTTTAAGCAAAAAAAAACAAAGGAAAAACAGAAACATAACCTAAAAGGCCTGACAACTGTCAAAAATTGTATAGGTACTTTACGCGTTGTTTACATATTTTACACGTTGTCTACATAGATTACATAGTTTACATTGTCTACGCGCATTGTTTACACCAGAACGTAGAAATCTTTATATACGCGTAGATGCTCATCCCTGAAATTTATTATCCGTTAGGTTCGTTCTCTATATACCAAATCGTCTAAAAATCGAATTCTAAAAAGCTGCATGTCAGAATTGGCTCAATTTTGACATAAACATTCTTTGGATTGATTGTCTTTAATGCCAATATTTGCTCTTATCGATATTTTGCGTTTTTCTCAAAATGAAAAATAATAATATGTGCTCATCGGTTGCCTACTTTTCAAGGTTAAGTTCGTTATGGATTATTTTTAGAAATAAAGGTAATTGCGCAAAAAAATCGGAGATCAAAAAATGTTTATGCCAAATTTGGGCCAATTCTGATGTGAGGTGTTTTTTCTCTTGTAGACTTAAAAAAAAATTAACCAATCAGAGTACAGAACTAACTGACAGATTTCAATGTCATAGTGAGTCAATAAACCCTTTTAACAAGTGGCGATAATTGCCGCCCTATTTTTGATTGTTTCTTTAAATTCCTATATATTCATATTTAAAATTTGCAAGAATATGGCGGCAGGATCTCTATTGTCGCCACTGTGTGAAAAGGTTTCCAGTGTCAAGAAAAGTGACATCTGTCATCAGAGTTCAATGTTTTGCGAATTCGCAAAATTTGGCAGGCAGCCAGGAATTGAAAGTGGTCTAATTTTTTGCGATTTTCTTTGGGAATTTTATGTCAGCACATGCTTTTGTCCTCTGCTCCTTCGGTTGTTTTCTTTTTGTTTCGGCTTTCGCCATTTCATTTTGGACTCTTATCTTTTCTTTGTAACTCTTGTAACTTGTTGTGCTTTGCCATACCTACCTGTGTTTTCTTTATTGATTTTTTTCCCTCAAAGTCTCGTTTCTTCTTTCTTGAGTTTAATTGTCGAAATATTTACTTGGCACTACAACTTTGAAATCGAAATTTCGACTTTTTTTTAAAAATGTCGAACTTTTTTTCTGGAAATTTCGATATTAAAGTCGAAATGGGTAATTTTTTTTATACGTGGCACTTCTACGCCTTCATACTTTGAAGTTGGAAGTGCTGAGTATTTCGACATTAAAGTCTAATGGCGGTTTGCACCGACCATTTTAAGCGAGGTTTAACGATATTCAACGTTTGAAGTGACATTTTTACATGTAAAAATGTTACTTTAAACGTTGATTATCGTTAAACCTAACTTAAAATGGTCGGAGCAAACGGCCATAAGTGACACTTATTTTGTCTTTTGAGTGTCCTGAAAAGGATCAACTGGATTGCCACTGCCCAGAAAAGGGAGACCTAAAAACGACTTGAGGAGGCCTTTGTTTAGCAGAGGTTGTGTCATAATAATTACGAACCAATAATATATTGGTGTGACAATTTTTAGAGAGGATAGGTGATATAGATGAAATCAACTAAGAAAAAGCCGTTGACGGCATCACTGAAAAAGAAGACAACTTATTTCCTTTTCTCCAGGTCCCTCCCATTTTGGAGTGTGACAGACGAAAACGCTTGTGGTTTTTCCTAGCTGGTTTTATCTTATCTATACCCATATACTTTTTAAAATGCTGTGCCAATTTCTCGATGAAAATAGGGAAGTAGGTACCTATACTAATTTTTGAGATTTTTGGCGACTGCTATCCAACAATGTTCCTCTTTCATGTCGTGTAGTATTCTGATGGAACATATTCTGAAAAGGAGTCCCAAAATTAATTCACAGAATCCTTGCAACTGGTTATCTATAAAAACATCGATAATTTCTCAGAATACCTACTAATTGTTCTCTAAGAAAAGAAGTGTTACCTATTGCGGCAAACATCAAAAATAAGTGGTAGATCATGATCTATCTGTATTTCCGGAAAAGAAAATGTCGAGGGTTTTCCTATTGCCAACTGGCACATTGCACCATTGTACCTTGTATAAGTCAATGAAGAAAAAACGAAATCTCAATCATTGTATGCTACACCTGCATACAGGTTTCGACCTTGTTAGCTTTCATCGGTGCAACATGGTACCTATGCATTGCAAACCAAATCCAAGAAACAAGTTTGAATGAGTAATAGGTATTTATTATTTTCTTGAGTTACTTACTCAATCAATGTTATCATCAGCGTTCAATATCTACATTTAAGTCGTGGTGTGGGTTATTTTTTAAAATGTGGGACGTATATATACCTATTATTACGTTAATAAATTTAATTCTAAATTGTATGAAAAATATGTTTTTTTTATAATTAGCAAATCCTTAATTGTTTTATAGATTATTTAGGGCCAACACAAATACATTTTTCGGTGAAGCACCAAAATTGGAGATTTGACCGTGATCTGACCTTAAAGATGCTAATCTAACATAATGCTAATCATTATCACTTATCAGTAAAAGATGGTTGACACGACATTCCACTCCTACGATTCTGGTTCTTCGAGCCGGCTCCCTACAAATGCGCCTGCACCATTTTATCGACTTCGAGAGTTACATGACGTAAAGTCAGCAGCAGATCTCGCCTTTATTGTAAGAGGGCGGCAAAATCGGTTTAGGTTACAGTGCGTTTAGGTATCTGTAGGAATCGCTCTTTTCTGTGTAAGTCTACACTTCGATGTAAAAATAAAAATTTGTCATGACAGAGAGGTAAAATTTGCGCAGACCATTGAATAAAATCGTATTCGTACACCGCGCAATGTCCAATACGATACGAGTATAGAGTTCTGTCAGTTTGGTGGAATATGGCGAAAGTGAGTATCGGGTTTTGTGATGATATAAGTGCAATCGTGTGACTTGACTTGATATGTTTGAAAATGGATAATAACATGATCAAGAAAGTGTGATAATTGTTTAAATTGAACTTGTTTATTTGGGTTCTTTACGAAAAACAAGCAAAATGTCGACAGACAAGATTAAAGTTGCTGTTAGGCTCCGTCCTTTTAACCGAAGGGGTAAGTAAACATATCAAATTAGAAATATTACAACCATAAAAAAACATGATCCTGGGGAAGTTGTCATCGGATATATTGTCGAAACAAGATACCTATTACTCATACTTTATAACTCATATAATGTAACAAAAAGCTTTTTTTTCTTTTCATCTTTTTATTGACCCTGTCTCAACCAGGTGAATAGAATTGGTTTAACAATGAAATAAAGCTCAACCCTTTCTTGATAGCTTATAAAGTACACATTTTAAAAAATTGTTAGCTTAACAGAAAGGGCAAAGTCATTCATAAAATTGAAACACCAATAAAAACAGAAAATTGTGTTAAGTCGAATAAAATTGTTTTTCATTGATGTTTTTCTTAAACAAAACAAAAGATATTTTTGTTCTCTGACACATATACAGCCAGAGTAGGAATGTGCTGATATATTCAATCCCTTGTCAGGATATAGGGGTCATGTAGCAAAGGATTGATTTACCTGTTAAGGCAAAATAGAAACCTGTTTATAAAATTTCAAAGCATTCAATTGTACGACTATAGTCTATAGTAGACTCCTTGAAAGCTAAAATGCCAAGTAAAATGCCTTTCCAATGTTAAAACTACCTGAAATTTGAGCGAAATATATGGCCATGTGTTTTTAAAGAAACTAGTAGGTATCAAATTATTTGCTTATGAGTTAGTTGGCCAAACGAAGTACCTTATGATAGTACTACTTCTGTCCGATGAAACCTTTCACTTTCAATATTTCAAAGTAGCAGTAGTTATACCTAGGTACTGCTCACCAACATGTGAGGAATCATTATTTAATTTAGTTAAGTAGGTTCTATGTAGTGCTAAAAGGAAAATTTTAAACTTATTTAAATTTGCCAAATACAGGTTCTATAGTGGTTATGGAATCTAAAATTAAATTCAATGCATTGGGTTCCTTATAAACATAATATTATAATCATCACATGAAAATACCTCATTAATAAAAATACTGGTGATTAGTGTTTGACAAGGCCTTGGGAAAAATAATTTGTCAGCATGTTTGCAATTGATAATATTTACAAACATTTAATACAACTTAATTATTTTTGTACCATCTAAAACATTTTTTTTTTTTCATGTTTGGAATATAAGCCATAGGTATGATATAACTGCCACCTCTATCATTATTTTTAAAATAAATTAGTTTTAGAAATTCTTGCTAAATAGAACGTGACCAATTCAAATATTGGTTCTGGATTTCTACACCTGCTGAAAATATTTTCCATGAACACTTTTTCATATCGTACTGATGCTGATTTGTTGATATTTTGAATTTACATAGGGGTACTGCGCCAGTTTGAAACTCTAGGAACAAACGTTTTCATATTTTCAGGAAATTCTGTATGAAACAGTGGTTGTCAACCTTATATTCTTGTAGGCAAATTGTTTTTTTTGGTTTTTTTGAGAGAGGTTGGTGAAATCGAGGATGAAATTTCGTGTATCTTTAATTTCATATTTATTAAGTCAAATGTAGAACAGCTGATCTTGTAAAAAAAACATGAATTTATACAGAAATACATGAATTTGTAAAGGGTGTCCGATTTAAGATGGTATTGGGGGTTATCTGCTAAACTCGTAGAGGTAGATTTTTTTTGATCTCACATTCCTGGGCCAATTTTTCATGACCGATCGAATGCCGCAAACCGCAAGTCTCTATCTCGTACCGTTTCGAAGATACAGGGTGAAACTTGAAATTCTCACTTTTCGAGGGAAGTCATTATCTCGCGTACGAAAAAAGATATCAGAAAGATGAAAATTGTATCTGACGCAGTTTTTTACGTCGATTCCATTGGCGTACTGCAATTTTTTTTTCCAAGGTACCGTTTAATAGATATGACTCAAACTTCATCTTTTTTAAATGGGACACCCTGTAAATTTTTACATTTTTAGAATATGCATAAAATTACCTTCCCAATGATATATAGTTTGTCTATATTCTGTTGTAATTTGATAATATTCTTATATATAGGTATTACACTTTTAAGTTATACCTCTGCATTAACTTCAAGAAAAAATAGTTTCTGATTGTAAAGAAAATTGATGTCATTTCGGATTAACTAAATAATCAAATATCTCACTGATGCTCGGTAACTGAATTTAATAGTCTAACGCCCAGTTTATTCTTCTGATAAACTGTCAGGCAATGCAATATGACGGAAAAACTGGCAATCTATGCATAATTCTATTGGTTGGCCAATTAGAATAGAATAGAATAGAATAGAATAATATTTATTGCGTAATTTGTACAGTATAATATATAATAAATATAATACAAAAACAATACAAAAAAGGCAACATTCGCTGAGGCGTTCTTCCATGATGCCCTGTCTCCTTGAACACTTTCATACTACTACACAGATTCCAGTAATTGACTTTTATAAACCTTTTTAAAAATCACTAATGAATTATTAATTAACAAATCATAGATATTTGAGTTAAGTAATTCTACAGGCAGAAATGCAAAACAACTTCTAAATTTGGATGTTCGATGTAGCGGTATATTATATCTTACTGTATTTCTAGGATCCCTATTATGCAAGTCATTTCTAGGCACAATTAGAGACCAGAGATAACCAGGGCAATTACTCTTAAAAATCTTATAAAGAAAAACAGCAAAATGCAAAGAGACACGCGACTCAAACCTCAAGTGTTCATACTGCATGTAAATTGGGGTGATATGATCAAATTTACCAGTACAAGAGACAAATCGTAGACAAGAATTTTGTGCTAACTGAATTTTATTTCTCAGTTCTTTTGTCAAGAAGCTGAAGTAAACAACACTACAGTAATCCAAGTGAGGGTAAATTAATGATTCAATCAGCATCATTTTTGTACTACATGGTAGTAAATACTTAAATGCATATAAGGATTTTAGTTTAAGATATACTAACGACAGTTTTTTGGATATGTGAACACTGAAGCTTAAGTTACTGTCGATTATTAATCCCAAGTTTCTAGCGTTCTCGGCGTACGGAATAACCAACCCATTGACATTAAGAATTGTGAAGTTATACAAATCAAACCGATTCCTACCAGCCTTAAAACATATTAAATGCACGCACTTTGACGTGTTCAAGAGCAATCCATTACTGATAGACCATTTGTATATTTTGTTCAGATCTTTATTAATTTCATTCATAGCAGCGCTGGATTCCTCCGGGGGAAACGCGGCCAAAAGCTGCGTGTCATCCGCGTAGAGATGGACCGAGCAAAACCCGACCTGGCTAGGCATGTCAGAGGTGTAAAAATTAAATAATAAAGGGCCTAATATGCTGCCTTGGGGGACCCCACGCGTCACGAGGACAGGCTCAGACCTTACTCCCTCCACCTCCACGATTTGGATTCTTGATGTCAGATAACTGTCAAACCAGAGGCAGACCTGCTCAGAGAAACCATAATACCGCAGCTTGGCCATTAATAAGCTATGATTGATAAGATCAAAGGCCTTGCTATAGTCAAGTAGGATCAGACACGAAATCAGGGATTGGTCGGTGTTTAAAGATATATCTGTGGTGATTTTACTCAGTGCAGTTGCGGTACTATGGCCTGCCCGGAATCCAGACTGCACCGCTGGCATAATATTTCTATTACATATAAAATCATTTATCATGTCTGAGACAAGTAACTCAAGCATTTTGCCAAGGATTGGCAAGATGCTAATGGGTCTGAGTTCATTAATAGTACTGATCTTAGCAGACTTTGGAAGAGGCTTTACAATAGAGGTTTTCCAAGCAGTCGGAAATTCCCCAGTTTGCAGAAATCGGTTGAAGAGATTAGTGAGTAATGGCACTATAAAGTCTAGGCTATAAAGTAACATATCATGAGTTATATTGTCAATTCCACTGCATTTAGACTTAATGCGTCTGAATGCGCGATAAACATCAATTTCGGTTAAGTTCTTAAAGAAAAATGAGTCATTATCCAGTCCTGCAAATTTATTACCATTAAAAAAGTCCAGAGTAGCATCATCAATTGGAGCAACCAGCTGACAGACACTTGCGAAGTGGTTGCTACATTTTTTAAGTGATTAGGAATTTCTATGTTATTATTGCAGTGAATATTCCAGCCGTTCATTTTTGACCAAGTTCTTTTAGGATCTTTTTTAAGTTTATTCAATTCGAATGACATATAAGCCTTTTTTTCACTTCGAATGGCAAATGAAAGATAGTTTTTTAAATCAAGGTAATAATTTTTGTGTGCTTGAGATAAGGTTCTTTTATATTTGTTATAAGCATTTCGTTTCAATTTTATGATTTCTTTTATAGTATCAGTTATATAGGGTTTAAATTTTCGTTTAATCAAGACAGTTTTCAAAGGTGCAAATCTGTGAAATACTTCTGTCAGCTGATGATTAAGACACTCAACCATGGTGTTAGATGATCCTTGTTGAAGGATACGTTCAAATTGCTGTATTAAATTCATCAATACTAAAATTTCGAAAGTCCCTGTAAGTTCGGTATTTTTTTTTTTTGAAAATCGTTTATTTCTTAAATCATTCATTACAATAACAATAATATAATTTCTCTAAACAGTGCCTGTAAGCACTGGTCTTGAGAAAACAATCTCAGTTTTTGTTTACCTTATGTCTAAGTGTTGCTTAAGCTTTTTTACAAATATATTGAAATTTCTTACATTTTTAATTTCTCCAGGTACCTTATTATAAGATTTGGAAGCTCGGACTATTAGTCGGGGATCAGTCTGCCGAAAAGACGTCTCCTACACATCGAACTGTGCACTCGAAGATATACGATTTAAAAAATATGTACAGGGTGGAGAATGACCTTGCGGATCTAAATCCGGAGGGCTCAATTAAATTCGTAATTGCAATTAAGAAAAAAAAAATATTTTCCGACTATTTTGAATTATCGTAAAAAAGCTATTTTTTGTGTTTAACTTACGATTGTGAAGCCATTTTTCAATATTTTTTCAAAAATCTTGTATCAATTGAAAGCCTAGTTATTGTAGATTTTACC